CTTATATTCGGACCCCGCTGACCCACATGGAAGTCATGGTTGTGCACCAGGCAACGTTTCATCACTCTGTACTCTCTCCCGACCGCGCAAATTCCAACGAATGCCGGATAATCAATATTTTGCAGTCTGAAATGGGTTAAATACATTAGAAATGAGAGGCATAATTACTTAATTAGAGTTGCGCCGCGCCTTCTGTGATGTACACAGCAATATTTGAGGAAATAATACGGAAAACACTCAGGCAGAGTCAGTTTCCGACCAAACTTTCTTTCCCGTATCAGTTGTTTGGCTGTCATTGACGAAAAGATGTAGAAGGAAGTACAAGTAACCTTTTGGAATTCACGGAAGTCCTTAAAGAATCCGTTCAGCGATCCACAACAACTTTTTACCATCCGTTCAAAAACGACCGTTTCGTTGGTACGAGCGTGAAAGTGATCGTCGGAATTTGGTTGCGGTATTTATACTTTCTGGACAAAGTCAATTAAGGTTAATTAAAACAAATTAAATTTTAAGAAATCACTCCGAATCAGCCAAAAGCAAAATCTGTTCCATTTCGGCTGAATTCGACTTCAATATTTTTAAAATACATTTAAAAATCGATCGTTTTTAGAAATCCTAATAGTTGGGGTGCCGCGCCACTACCCTCCAACAAAAGCTGCTTCGACCTTTTCTCTCCCGTTCTCTTCCAGGCTCTGTATTCAAACTCAGGAGAAAAACCTCGGCGATAAAAAACGCTGAGACCTTAAAACCCGTGAAGAAAACTTCTCCCAGAGAATGCAGCAAGGAAGAAGATTGGCCCTTTCCCCACCCTTCCAACCACTCCAGCACAAAACGAGTGTCGAAGACCTTTTTCTGACAGCCCCGTTAGCTTTTTACCGGCTCGTTCCCAGATGCGACGGTCCTCCTATTTCCTCTAAAGACAAACCAAAACGAGGTAAGTAGCGAAACTACGACGGACCTGCAGACGCTTTTCCTTTACATTTTCATTTTCCCACATTTCGTTTGTGGAACAGCAACCCCTGCCACATCACCTGTAACCAATTCGACAGCTAATTCCAATATTTCCGTGGCAACACACCAAGCAATCCTATTTTTTGACTTGCAAACCGCAGAAAACAATGCATGCACCCTTATCGAAGGCTCTCCCTAGCCTTATTGGG